TGGTAGCATTTGCCCAAGTATTTGGATCATCTTCCATTGCTTTTCTCAGGCCATCAGCAGGAAGCTAGATCAAAAGCAGAACAGCCAGAACATGAACCAGTGCTCATATGGGGTGCTTGTATTGCAGTATTGCAGACGGCAGGTTTACTTGCTATGTGACAATGCTGGCCTTGTTTTATGGGAACTTCCAAATGAAATTTTGAAGTTGAATGCATTGTAGTTTGCATGTGATTCAACTTTCTGCCATACTTACTGATATATATCAGCATTTGATGTAGGACAAATCAGAAAACACAATGGCTTAACAAATAGCCATTTGATTTGCAGTTCTGACTCTGTGTTATGGGCTGTACTCAGCTGGGCAGTTCCTATGATCAGTCCAGGAGCAGAAATGAGAGTTTAGCCATTTGGGGAACTGATTGAGGCTTCACTTAAGTGTCTGTGGTTTGTGGTGAATCTTAGCTACATATTATCTCTTTTTTTCTTTTTTTGACAGGCAGAGTTAGTGAGAGAGAGAGAGAGAGACAGAGAGAAATGTCTTCCTTCCATTGGTTCACCCCCCAAATGGCCACTATGGTCAGCATGCTGTGCTGATCCAAAGCTAGGAGACAGGCACTTCCTCCTGGTCTCCCATGTGGGTGCAAGGCCCAAGCACTTGGGCCATCCTCCACTGCCTTCCCAGGCCACAGCTGAGAGCTGGACTGGAATAGGAGCAACTGGGTCAGAACCGGCACCCCAACTGGGACTGTCACCTGGAATACCAGTGCGGTGGGTGGAGGATTAGCCTAGTGAGCCATGGTGCCAGCTTACATACGATCTCTTTAACAGGCAGGCCCCAGGGTTTTTCAGAAGATAACTGTCAGAAAAAGAAAATCTGAGAAGGCAAATACTTTACAAATTGTCTATTTCTGGGGCTGGTTCTGTGACATAGGAGGTAAATCACCGCCTGCAGTGCCAGCATCTCATATGGGTGTCTGTTCGTGACTCGGCTACTCCACTTCTGATCCAGCTCTTTGCTACAGCCTGGGAAAACAGTAGAAGATGGCCCAAGTCCTTTGGCCCCTGCTCCCTTGTGGGAGACCTGAAAGAAGCTCCTGGTTCATATCTTTGGATCTACACAGCTCCAGCCATTGCAGCCATCTGGGGAGTGAACCTGCAGTTCGAAGACCTCTCTTCCTCCCTCCCTCTCTCTCACTCTCTTCTCTGCCTCTCCTTCTCTATTTGTGTAACTCTTTCATATAAATAAATATTTTAAGAAATTGTCTATTTCTATCACTTTTACTGGTATCTCATGGGGTAAATCAAGTGAAATGGTGAAATCAGGGTCTTTTTAAAAAAGATTTATTTAGTTATTTATTAGAAAGAGTTACACACAGAGAGAGAGAGAGGCAGAGAGAGAGAGAGCTCTTCCATCTGCTGGTTCACTCCCCAGTTGGCTGCAATGGCCAGAGTTGTGCCAATCCAAAGCCAGGATCCAGGAGCTTCTTCTGGGTCTTCCACATGGGTACAGGGGCCCAAAGATTGGGCCATCTTCTACTGCTTTCCCAGGCCATAGCAGAAAGCTGGATCAGAAGTGGGGAAGCTGGGAATCAAACCAGTGCCTATATGGGATGCCAGTCTGCAGGTGGCAGTTTTACCTGCTAGGCCACAGTGCCAGCCCCAATCCAGGGTTTTGTGAAGGGATGAATACAGGGAAAGGTGCTACTTGGAATCATTACTGGTAAAATGCACTGCATTAAATATACATTATGTGTATTTGTTAACTTTCTTTAGTATAAACTTTAATAACAACATAATGTTTATCTCTGATAACCTTATTCATTTGAACACTCAACATTTCTTTTTACTTTTACGTTATTATTTTACAAAATTTGTAGATAATGCTTTCGTTAAACCAATGATAACTTCTTTTAATCTCTGCCACTTAATATAGGTTGGGTGCATTTTCCTATGTATTTCTATTTTTACAGGTTTATTCCTCCACAGTGAAGCTGATGTTTTCTTGGTTAATGTATTTATTATTCTATATTCATTCTATTATATCCGTTTTTTCCCCACTGTTCAGTGCAGAAGGAAACCAGAGTGTTTTTTTTTTTTTTAAGATTTCATTTATTTATTGAAAGAGTTGCAGAGAGAGAAAGTCTTCTATCTGCTGGCTCACCCTCCAAATTACTGCAAAGGCCAGAGATCAGCCAATCCAAAGCCAAGACCCAAGAGCTTCTGGGTCTCCCATGCCGGTGCAGTGGCCCCAGGACTTGGACCATGTTCCACTGCTTTCTCAGGACATAGCAGAAAGCTAGATTGTATGTTGAGCAGGCAGGACTTGAACCAGAACCCATATGGAATGCTGGCATTGCAGACAGCAGCTTTACCCATTATGCCGCAGCATTGGCCTCCAGAGTTTTCTTTGAACTCCTGCCATTCACCTTCTCTCCCAGGTATGATTCTGGGTCCTCCACATGTTTCTAAGAGGAAAGAAAATTAATATATCACCTGTAAGTGGTTTTTTCTTCTGTTTTTAATTATTGCCCAGCTTGTCAGTACTCATTTTAGGTGTTTAATGCTAGTTTATTTAATTTTTTTTAATTTTTTAAATTTATTTGAAAGTCAGAGTTACAGAGAGGTAGAGGGAGAGAGAGAGTCTTCCATCTGCTGGTTCACTCCTCAGTTTGCCACAATGGCCAGAGTTACACGGATCCAAAGCTAGAAGTGAAGAGCTTCTTCTGGGTCTCCCACATGGGTTCAGGGGCCCAAGGACTTAGGCCATCTTTTACTGAATTCCCAGGACCTTGGCAGAGAGCTGGATTGGAAGTGAAGCCACTGGGACTTGAACTGGCACCAATATGAGATGCCAGCACTGAAGGCAGTGGCTTTACCTGCTAGCCACAGTGCCAGTCCCAGTATACTAGTTAATTAAAATGGAAAATATGGGGCCAGCTCTGTGGCTCAGTGGGTTAATGCCCTGGTCTAAAGCATCGACATCCCATATGGGCACCGGTTTGAGACCCGGCTGCTCCACTTCTGCTCCAGCTCTCTGCTATAGAAGGCCCAGGTCCTTGGGCCCCTGAACCCATGCGGGAGACCCAGAAGAAGCTCCTGGTTCCTGGCTTCAGATTGGTGCAGTTCCAGCCATTGCAGCCAATTGGGGACTAAACCAGCAGATGGAAGACCTCTCTCTCTCTGCCTCTCCTCTCTCTGTGTAACTCTGACTTTCAAATAAATAAATAAATATTTAAAAATTTTAAAATAGAAAAATAAACATAAAATTTGTTATCACAGAATATACAGAAATGAATTATGAATTTGGCATGATTATGAAACATTACTGTCATCTATAATAATGCAGTTTGGTCTCTTGTCTTTCTGTTGCTATAGCAAAATATATATTTGTTACATGAATTGAGTTGAAACTAAGCACAATATGCTACATTTTGGGGGTCATGTCTGAAACAGTCTACACATAGATGATGTACTGAACAGTGTTTTAGTGCTACCTATGAAGTAAACACTTAGCATTCTGCAAGAGGAAGAATTAGCTATGCTAAAACACAAATTAGTTAAGCTTGTTTTCAAATTGTTAGAGTGATGGAGTTCTTAATACCATTGAGAAGCTGAATTGGATTCTGGAATAGGATAAGGAATGTGTGGAGAAAAGAATCTACTGGAGACTCATTTATTTTTTAAGATTATTTATTTGAAAGGTGGACTTGCAGAGATTGGGAGAGACAGGGAGACAAAAGGCGATATCTTCTATCTACTGTTCATTCTCCAAATGCCCGCAATGGCTGGGACTGATTCAGACCAAAGCCAGGAGCCTGGGATTCCTTGGGTCTCCCACATTTGTGGAAGGGTCCAAATACTCAGGCCATTTTCACTGCTCTTTCAATCAGATTAGCAGGGAACTAGATTGGAAGTGGAGCAGCAAGGACCCAAGTCCTCTGTTCACATGGGATGCCAGCATTGATGGTGGAGGCTTAGCCTGCTGGATCACAATTCTGGTGACTATTGCAGGTTCTGAAACAAATCTCTAAGCATTTTTCTGAGTGAGTCACAAATGTAGATTGTACTGCAGACATTCCCAGGTTCTCTTTTTGGGCAAATAATTCCATTGCTTTCACTTTAATTATGTATAGTGTTATTTCAAATGTTTATCATTTGAATGTTTTGGGCAAGTATTTCCATTGTTCTCACTTTAATTTGGTATGTTATTTCAATTGTTTATCAGTAGAATAATCATAGATAAGGGCAAAAGCTAATTTGTATTCTTTGTCTTACCTGTATTTTCTCTCTTCAAAATATTTATTAGCTTGATAGAGAAAAAAGTTGACGGACTGAGGTATAGAGAGCTTTGACACATTAATTCACTTCCTAGATAACCATACCAAACAGGCGGGGCAGGACTGAAGCCAGGATTGAGGAATGGAATCTAGGCCTCCTTCATTGGTGACATCACCATTGCTTCCCCAGGTTTGCATTAACTGGGAGCTAGAAACTAGAGCTGGCATTGGAAATCATAGACACTCTGAGGTGGCATCATAAACAACACTAAGCTAAATGTCTGCCCTGTCTTTTAATATATTTTTTCTCTGACATTTTGGAAATGATATGCATGGTGTTTTCCTGGAAATTGTTTTCTGTTCATTCCCATCATAGTTTCACTGATGGTTTCTTGCCTTTTTTTTCTTAATGCTTCTACATACTTCTCCTTAACATTGCCCAGTCAAGAGTCAGTATTGCCCCTCTTCTAGCCTGTTGTGCAATTCCCCCTTGAATGAAGTGGCCTTTGTGATTTGAACCTCCTGTTTCCCTCCAGCTTGGGCATTTCTCACAGTCTGTAGATCATGGGTTTGACTCTGTTGAATGCTCTGTGTGGCTTTCTAAACACTCAACAAGTCTAAGGTGAAACCATATCCTTCCTTTTTTCCTTCATATCCATACACAACTGTCAGTGTTTATTTTGTGACAGAGTTAACATGTTGACTTGAAGTGTATTATTATAGGTGATGACAGCATTTGAAGACCTGGCTGTGTACTTTACGTGGGAAGAATGGCAGAAAATGAACAATGCTCAGAAAATCCTGTACAGAGATGTGATGCTGGAGACCTACAGCAACCTGTCCTCCTTGGGTGAGTGACACTCATCACACACCCAGTGATAACATTTTCTTGCTATTTGACAAATAAGGGAACACTTTATAATGTTTAATATTGGGCAGGATTAGAATGTGAGTCCATGCATAATCTGAATATCTACCATCTAACAAAAGATTCAAATTGGAACATTTGTTGCATAGCTCCTGAACCAAGCTGTAGTCCTTTAAATAACCCAAGATAGTGATTTCACAAAGTCTTACTTTGTTTCCATTAATAGGGCACTGCATTACCAAGCCTGACTTGATCTTCAAGTTGGAGCGAGGAGAAGAGCCATGGATGGTGGACGAATGCTTGAATCAGAGCCTTTCAGGTCAGTCTGCACATAACAGACAGGGAGGCCAAGGCAGAGTGTGCAGATGTTGACTGGTGTTCTTTCCATGAATTTTTTCTCAAGCCTTACTCCCGATGACAGCTGGTTTTGTGCATCAGACACAGGTATTTAGAGATACCAGTATCTTTCTAACTTTTGTTCTTAGTGAAGATGTTCTTTGATTAAAAAAAAAAAATCCAGTCATTTTCTGATGTTACTAAGGCTTTTATCTAGGTTTGATACATTCCCCCAATTCTAACTTGTCCTTCTCTACACTTTCATACCTTTTCCTTCATGCACTTATTAGTTCCTTCAGTGCTTGTTAATTAGGCAACATACAGAAACTTATTTTTTTAAGATTAATTTTTCTTTTTTTTTTTTTTTTTTTGACAGGCAGAGTGGACAGTGAGAGAGAGAGAGAGAAAGGTCTTCCTTTTGCCATTGGTTCACCCTCCAATGGCCACCATGGCCGGTGTGCTGTGGCTGGCACACCACACTGATCCAAAGCCAGGAGCCAGGTGCTTTTCCTGGTCTCCCATGTGGGTGCAGGGCCCAAGCACTTGGGCCATCCTCCACTGCACTCCTGGGCCACAGCAGAGAGCTGGCCTGGAAGAGGGGCAACCGGGACAAATCCGGCACCGTGACCAGGACTAGAACCTGGTATGCCAGTGCTGTAGGCAGAGGATTAGCCTATTGAGCCGCCACACCAGCCTGTTTCTGTTTTTTTTTTTTTTTAAAGGTTTATTTATTTATTTGAAAGTCAGAGAGAGAGAAGAAGGAGAGGCAGAGAAAGAGAGGTCTTCCATCCACTGGTTCACTTCCCAATTGACTGTCCTGGCTGGAGCTGTACTGATCTGAAGCTAGGAGCCAGGAGCTTCTTCCAGGTCTCCCACATGGGTACAGGGGTCCAAGGACTTGGGCCATCTTCTACTGCTTTCCCAGGCCATAGCAGAGTGCTGGATCAGAAGTGGAGCAGCTAGGCCTTAAACTGGTGCCCATAAGTGATGTTGGCACTGCAGGTGGTGGCTTTACCTGCTATGCCACAATGCCAGCCCCCGGAAACTTATTTCTAACTCATTGCTCAGATTGAGTTCCCACTCATGATTTTGCCCAGGCTTAGAACTTGCTCAGGACTGAATCAATAAATGGGAACTCTCTCTTAGTCTCTTTCTTTTTTTTCCTCTGTGCCTCTCAAATTAAATTAGTCTGTTGGAAACATTTGAGGAGTGAGCCTACAGTTGGCAAACCTCTTTTTCAGTCTGTCTTTATCTCTCACTCTGTCTCTCTGACTCTCAAGTATCTAAATAAGTAAATGCTAAAAGATGGTCATGTGGCTGGTGCTGTGGTGCAGTGAATTAACACCCTAGCATGAAGCACCACCATCCCATATGGGCACCAGTTCGAGACCCAGTTGCTCCACTTCCAATCCAGCTCTTGGCTATGGCCTGGGAAAGCAGTAGAAGATTGTCCAAGTCCTTGGACCCCTGCACCCGAGGGAGACCCAGAACCAGCTCCTGGCTCCTGGCTTCAGATCAGCACAGTTCTGGCCATTGTGGCCAATTGGGGAGTGAACCATTGGATCAAGACCTTACTCTCTCTTTGCCTGTCCTCTCTCTGTGTAACTCTGACTTTCAAATAAATAAATCTTTAAAAATAAAAGATGGGCATGAGTAAGCCTCTGTGCTGTGACATCAGAAATTATGAAGCTAGGAATGACACTGTGGTGCAGTGTGTTAAAGCTCCAGCCTGCAACACTAGCATTGCATACGGGGGCCAGTTCCAGTCCCAGCTAGTCCTCTTCTAACCCAGCTCTCTGCTAATGCACCTGAGAAAAGAGCAGAGGTTGGCCCAAGTCTTTGGCCCCCTGTACCCATGTGGGAGACAAGAAAGACACTCCTGGCTCCTAACTTCATTTTGGCCCAGCATTGGTTGTTGTGCCCATATGGAGAGTGAACCAGCAGATGGAAGACTTCTCTCTATCTCTCTCTCTATAATTCTAGCTTTCAAATAAATAAAATAAATCTTTAAAAAAAGGAAATCATAAACTAAGCATGAACTTATATAAAACATGAAAATAAGTGATCCTAGACTCACCAAGAAAGTAATGAGATTTTGAGACCCAAAGTCAAGTAGCCTCATGGGTTTATGTTGAGTGGCTCAGATTTCTTGAAGGGTGGAGTTTGAAGTATGATTTCTCTCTTATTTTTCAGTATCATTGAGAAATAAGCAAATAAAAAGATAAGAAAAGCATAGGAAATGAAGCTTTCAGTGAAAATAGGAGGCAACTGATCAAAAGCCTCCAGAAATTCAAATTATCACACACGAATGCTTCTAGAAAGAATTTAGAGGAGGTAACCAGCACTGATGATTTCAGAATGAGTTAGAAAACACTTTTCAAAGAAGATGAGCACATCCCAGTTTGCAGAAACAAATTCTTCAAACTGATTGGGAGTGTTTAACTAAAGTGGTATATTGGGAATTTTCTGTTCCTGTTGTACTTCTGAGAAGCTGAAGGTGTTGGGTGTCCTTAGGAATTTGGGGAAGCTGTCATAGAGTAGAGACAAAGTAGTTTTTCATTTGAAAAATCCCACAAATGATGTTTACCTAGGAAGACTGAGCATGAGACACTCAGAGATTCAAATCATACTCTTTAAATGTTGTCCTGCTTAAAGTACAGGCACATTTCACTCTTCTCCACCTGCAAGTAAATGATCAGTGAAACTTTTTCATGTTTATGGTTGAGATATCAGAGAAGCAAAAAGCACACAATTTTTATAAAAATAAACTGGAGAAAAAGCACAGGGAAAAAAATGGTTGCTAGGTAGTGGGTGAATATTTTTATTAAATATTTGTCCATTCTTTAAAATATTTTACAGTTATTTCATCTTTGTGAAAGTCAGAGTGATAGTGAGAGAAGAGAGAGAGAGAAAGAGGTCCTCTATTAGCTCACTTCCCAGATGCCTGCAACACTTACGTCTAACTAGTCTGAAGCCAAAACTCTAGAATCCATCTAGTCTTCCCTGGTTTCTCACAGGTTCCCAGGCACATGAACCATTATCTGGTTCCTTCCAGTTTACATAGGCAGAGAGCTGTTCTGCAAGCAGAGTAGCCAGGGCTCAAACTGACACTGTTTTGAGATGCAGGCATCCCACACACCATAGCACAAATGTCATTCTACCATCCTTGACAATTTCCCATAGTAAAAAGGATCATGTTTGAACATTGGGAAACCTCATGGTATATTAATGCATTAAGGAGAAAAACCATATAATGGTCACAAATAAGTACCTCATACTGATTTTGTGAAAATCTTATGCCACTTGGATAACAAGTACCTTCATTCCCTTTACATGAGTATGCCAGGAGAAACAGTTACATGTGATTCAGTGACATGATTGCTTTTTCTCATTTCAGTGGTCATGAAAAGGGATGACCTGATTAGGATCAACCAGCAAAGTCAGGACAAAAATCTGAATCAGGATTTTATGAAAAATAACAAGACATCAGCTCTCAAGAGAATTGAATTAAGAAAAACACTTAGTTTAAATTCCAGCCGTATTCCAACACTGATTATTAAAAAGGGAACCTATTCACGATTGAAGCCTGAGGAATGCAATAAATGTCAAACTGTGTATCCCCACAGTGGGCCTAATCAACTACAGGCTGAAGAGAAATTTGATAACACTAAGATACCTGGAAAATCTCTCCAGTTCTGTGAGCCCTTTGGTCAGCATGACAAGATTCACATCATGAAGCAGCCATTTGGACCCACTGGACAAGCAAAAGTCTTCACAAGAAAGATGTATTGTAAATCTGAGATGGTTCATATGACAGAAAACTGTAATAAATCAACTGTCACTTTTGGAAAAGGAACTCAAATAGAAAAAGCTATCCATGAAAATTCTAGCCTCAATATGCATCAACAAACTCACACAAGAAAGAAATTTTATAAGTACATTAGGTATGTTGAACCTGTCCTTCAACAGCCACAACTTGCAATAAATCACAGACTCAATACAAGGGGAAAACTCTATAGATGTAAACCTTGTGAAAATTCACTCAGTTTTAATTCACCTTATGAATATAATGACTGTGGAAAAGCCTTTGGACAAAAGTCAGTCCTAAGGAAACATCAGCGAATTCACACAGGGGAGAAACCTCATGAATGTATTGACTGTGGAAAAGCCTTTACACAAAAGTCACACCTCATAAACCATCAGCGAATTCACACAGGGGAGAAACCCCATGAATGTAATTACTGTGGAAAAGCTTTTGGACACAAGTCAGACCTCATGAAACATCAGAGAATTCACACAGGGGAGAAACCTCATGAATGTAATGACTGTGGAAAAGCTTTTGGACACAAGTCAGACCTCATGAAACATCAGAGAATTCACACAGGGGAGAAACCTCATGAATGTAGTGACTGTGGAAAAGCCTTTGGGCGAAAGTCAAACCTCATCATACACCAGCAAATTCACACAGGGGAGAAACCTCATAAATGTAATGACTGTGGAAAAGCTTTTGGACAAAAGTCAGCCCTCCTCATACATCAGCGAATTCACACAGGGGAGAAACCTCATCAATGTAATGACTGTGGAAAAGCCTTTGGACAAAAGTCAGACCTCATAATACACCAGCAAATTCACACAGGGGAGAAACCTCATAAATGTAATGACTGTGGAAAAGCCTTTGGGCGAAAGTCAGTCCTCCTCATACATCAGCGAATTCACACAGGAGAGAAACCTCATCAATGTAATGACTGTGGAAAAGCTTTTGGACACAAGTCAGACCTCATGAAACATCAGAGAATTCACACAGGGGAGAAACCTCATGAATGTAGTGACTGTGGAAAAGCCTTTACACAAAAGTCAAGCCTCATCATGCACCAGCAAATTCACACAGGGGAGAAACGTTATGAATGTAATGACTGTGGAAAAGCCTTTGGACAAAAGTCAGACCTCTTCATACACCAGCAAACTCACA